CAGTAAAAATAACTTGATTTCTATTTCTCCCGGAATTCTAGGACTATATACACTGATCATGATTGACTTGATCTCTTGATCTCTAAATATAGACATGCGCTAGAAATAGAATAACCTGCAGTTCTAAATACAGAATTGAAGCACTGACCGAAACAAATAACCCACATATGTATGGACAATCCCTATTTTTGACCTGAGACATTTCTTTGTCCAACTTCTTCGGTGGTTATTCTTGGCCGTTGACATAATCGCATTTAGCCCCCGATAATCCACACAAAATCGTAGCCCTCCATTTGGCTTTCTGGCAAATAACACGGGCGATGCTGCTGGCGAACTACTGGGTCTAATCAATCCCTTACCCAGAAGTTCTGTTAATGTCTTGCGCAACACTAGAAGCTCTTCCCTCGACATACTGTACAGAGGGCCCCAAGGCGGTTGGACTGGCTTCCCATCTTCACTTAGAAGGTTTATAGCATGGTCTAGATGACCTCGAGTTTGCGGGAGATTGTTAGCCCCACTATCATCAGAAAAAAGGCGCGCAAAATTTTTTACAGAGCCTGGCAGTCGGTCTTGAGCTTCGGAGATCTTGAGGCAAGGCTTCGTACGGAGTGCCTTATTTATGTCGTCTAAAGAAGCTTTGAATACGGGGACCTCCTTCTCCATAAAAGATAAGGCTTCAAAAGGAGAACATTCCGGCTCCTTTATTCCCTTCAAATTGTGACGCCAGCGCCGAGCACTATAAACAGAGCCACCACTCTTCCTAAGTTCCAGCCGCTGCTCTTTGGAGTGGATTACTGCATCCTGATCTTCTAACCATTTCTTCCCTAGTATCATTTGATGTGTACTGTGCGGTACTACATACAGCCACAACTTCTCAGTAAGATAGCCATCGAGGTCTATAGAGACCCAAGTGATGCTTCTCACAATTGGTTTGACTTCTGATGAATTTTCTGCTGTCTGAAGGGTTCGGGGAGAAATAGGTTTGCACGGTAAACTCAGTAGAGCTGCAAATTCTTCATCAATAATACCTGAACAAAGACATCCATTGTCGATTAAGGCTTGCACCATTGTGACGTCGTTAACTAATGCATTGACTAGAAATGGATTTGTGTTCATCTTTGGCTCCTGTTCAGCTACTGTCGTCATTTCTGAAACTTTTTCATCCAACATTATTGGCTCTACAAAATCTTCCCTTTTGGAGCGAGGGTACTCGTTATCATGCACAATTTCGTTGACATAGATATCCTTCTTCTCAAATGATGGGGTTGATCGGGAACGTCTTCTTTCTCTTCTGAGCGGTCTGTTACTGGTCATTGCATTAACAAGGAGTGGTGATGTGGTCGTCCTCGTTTCATGATTCGTAAGAGAGCTCCTCATGATAGGCCTCTGGGTTGACCAACCTATTCTATCTCTTCGATCTCTCGTATGCCGAATTTCTTTATTAGGACTTATGAGATTTTGGGAAATGCTATAAGGATCCACCTCGTACATCGTTGGATCAATAGGACCTAGACCATCGCCATATGGATCTAATTCGTACATTGCTGGATCAATAGGGCCTAGACCATCGCCATATGGATCCACTTCGTACATTGCTGGATCTATAGGTAAACTTTTCTTCGCTCTTCGTGAGTTAATTGCTGGAAGAAGATGGCACATCCTAGACATACATCCCTGTTCCTCACATCTGAAGCAACTTCCTTCTTTCCGAAGCTTCTCCAGCTGGTCCTCTGATTTCCATGTTGCCCTAAGACAACTTTTTTTCTCTCCATGGTAATATTGCAATGATCCCATTTTATCTTTGCCCCCAAATTGACTGATGTGACTGACTGACTGACTGATTGGCTGACTGGCTGACTGACTGGCTGACTGACTGACCGACTAACTGAACTGATTAAGGTTCTGAATATCTGAACTAACAGCGATCCTGAATTAGAGATGAGAGAATTATAATATGTCATGGTTTCATTACAAAATGCATGAGCAATGTTGTAGGTACAATATTTTAATTATAATTCTCTGAAGAGAGAATTTCTGTACTTATTGACTACCTATATATACAGACTGAAATAACCCTCCTCGATAAGGTTCTCTCTATGACCTGTCAACTCAGACTTTCCGACAATTGCCTGTAGATCCTTGATACTTCTGTACCCCTCATGAACTCTCAGTAGGTTTCAACAAGGCTCAATGTGAATCATCTAGGTTCCCTGTCATCCAAGATCTTCCCAGGAACCTCCCTTCGTATAATTGCCTGCGCTAGACAGCGTAGGCTACAGGAACCCTTAGGCTTAACAGCCGTCACAGTAGAATTATATACTGAAGAAAGGATCAGAAGAGGAATCCTTACACGTGGACTCAAATCAGAAGGTTCTAAACTAAAGAGAAAAGTATCTAGAAGGATATGAATCTGTATATATTTACATAAGAGTTCAACTGTTGAAATAGAGTTGCCAACACAAAACCTCCTGTCCCTCATTGCCTACAACCAAAGGTTTTTGCATGAAAACCAATATCCATGACAAACCTTTTGTATCGTGATTTGTCACACACAAGACTCGTGTGTGTGAAACTAGTCGTCGGAATTCCTGGATTGACCCTGTGTCGGCTTGCAAACCATTGGACCAACGACCATGTGGCCACTAAAATGTCGGGGCGTCACAAAGTTGAGATTGTTTCTGACTCGAGAAATGGGGTTGGAAGAGAGGGATGCACTCAGGATACTGTAACTCAGACAATTATTTTACCTTTATTTTTCTTTTCTTTTGTCGCTTCTGGCTTTATAGCAGGTTATGTAGGTAGCAATGAGCTGTCTGCTCCATCTACCCATGCCACGTCTAAAAAGATGTAAAGTTCTTCCTGTCATGTAAAAGGTTTCAAATTCAACTATAATCATGTTCATAGTGTCGCCTATATTTTCGCAATCACAAGTACGGCATGCACAATGCTCTTGGATTTGAAAAAGTCTTTACTTAAATTCCAAATCTCACACCCATCAAGGTAGTTGTTGGTTAAAACTACCAGGTTCTTGGATTCGAATCCGAAAGGGAAAGGCAATCAGTAGAATGTGTTTTTGTATCTATCTCTCAAGGCACTGTGTTATTGGTATTCTGTAGGGTACGAGTTGGGTACAAGTAGGTTACAGGTGTGGTGTATGGTGGTGATTCCAAAGAGTAGGAGGTATAAAGTCAGCACTAGGTATAAGGTTCACAGGAGAGTAAAGGTAAAATAAGTAATAGGTGAGGTTGGTACAATTACGGCGGTCTTCTTTAGAGAAGAGATAAGTACGTGAAAAATAGGTATGAGTATAAACAGAAGACGTTGCGTGAAGAAGAATACTCCTTCACACTGGGTATATATGTAAATCAGATAATAGGACAGCCCTAAGCTCTGTCTCGAACAGTATTACTATGTGATCCCTATGAAATTACCCTATGTTCCTGAGCCTATCCTAGTTGTTTGAGAACTTGATCTAACCCCGAGTGGTGTTTTAGAACGGAACTCCCCATGAGACACCATCCTAGTTTCCGCCACATTTATCCATGGAACTATCTATCAGAAGGCTTCTGAGTGACAGCTGTTGCCTAGAGATATACTGAGTGTACATGGGTCTCCACAAACCCTTACTTGCTATTGCCTAGTTAACAATTCTCATGTCATCCACCCCATTACAATCACATGCCTCTTTCTTTTTCCCAACAAATTACCATTGTGTTAATGGCTGTGACAGTAGTACACTTTCTCTACATCATCTCATAAACTTAACCAGATCTATCTAACGTCTATCCTAAATAACCGCCTGTCAGATTTGTGCGCCACGCTTTGTCTCCCCCATGAAGTGTTATTATAATCACGGGCGAGTATTTTGTGGTCAGCTGAGGCCGGATGAGTCAATGAGAATGTTCTACACTTTACTTAAAGATTTTATGATGCATTGGTGGTAGTCAATTTTGGTTGAAGAGGTTGGCATGGTGTAGAGTATTGAATCATTTCCTCGTGCGCCAACTTGTTCAGTTTTGCAAAATTTAACTTTAATTGGTTCTGGGAGACTATTTCATTCCCAGATTTGCGAAGAACACAATGATCAAGTGTTTTTTCTTTAATCTCCTTATATCCAGTTCTGATGTAAATTCATCAATACTGTTTGTTTTACTTGACCTGAGGTATCGAAGCCGCGAAAAAGATTGTATGTGTAAAGTAGAAGGCTGGGGTGAAAAAGGTTAGCTGGTCACTCATTTGGAGATGAAACTTAAATCCAACTCGATCTTCTCTTCAATTTTCATGACGCTTAATCACGAGAAGGGGAAGTGGCAAGAAGGCAGCTCTAATGTAGAGATGAAAGAAGTAGATTGGCTATGAGTAGAGAATATATAGAGGCGGACAGGGACTATATGGTAACGTGCACGTACCATTGTACTCACATTATTGGACCTAGGGCCCGGTTGAGGCGAGGCCGTAACTCGCTTAATTCCTCTATTTAATATTCATTGATACATACTTGAAAATCTTACGAGAAATAGGGATTGATCCTCGGTGTCTATCAGAAAATAACAAATGTATAAATTTATATATTTACCATTGAGATATACACCATTAAAGAAAGCTTTAACAGTCATTCATAGTCATAGGTTCATTAGGGACTTAAATATAACTCTGTTCTATTCTTTTCTCATCTGAAAATTGAGACATGTACTACACAAGAATAATTTTGAGTTGGCAAAGTATGTTTAATTTTTGTGTAATCTGGCATTGGAGAAAATGAAATTCGTTTGATCAAATCTAATAATCACCATATCCAATTTCCGCAGATTAGCTGGCAGTTTTTGCCACGGAAATAGGCCATTTTTAGACTCTTGTAAAGTCGTCTACATAAAAAAAGGTACTATCTTAAGACTAAAGGGAATACCTTTATAAAATAGTGAAGATAGTAATAGTAGACCTATACACCGGACACCAGAGACTCCATATGCCCGCTTTTCAAAATTTACAAACATCTGTGTCTAAAGTGGTTTCTCAGTTATTACTTTGACTACCCTTGCATAAAATTTTGCTGCATGGGGCCGAGGAAAAGTGATTTCGTCAACTAAATAGTCAGGTAACAACTCCATGAGCGATTTATCACGGTTTGGGTCAAGAAGTGGAGTGTAACTACACTGAATGTGCTCATAGCTTTCAGCCGATTTTTCGTTACCAGTCGCTAATTTGAAGTGAAGCGCTATGATATGATGAGTCAAATTCCATTTCAATAGTACCAAGGTGCTAGACTTACTTCCGTTCCGTCCTGTCTGAATACAATCAAAGTAATCTTCATCTGCACCACGCGTGACACTTCTGATTAGAAGGCCAGTCAAATCACTGTACATATCTTCTTTCAACTGAGCTGTCTGAGCTGCCTCTGCGGTTCCAACTATTCGTGTGCCACCGTTAACTTTGATCGCACTTCCGGGTACATTAGAGCTATAATTCTTTCCAGATAGAACTGCAGTACGATTTGCAGCCAATTTGGTAGATAATATCTTGTTCTCTACCTGTGTTTCAGCTAGTGATTTCTCGAGCTCATTATTTTTTTCATGGAGCAAAGAGATCTCTTCATTGGCGGAAGCAATTTTGTTTCGAAGGTTACTCATTTCCTCTACAGAAACTGCTTGAGTGGCTAGTTCGTCCTTAAGCTTCGATATGTAATCATGAGTAACTATTGCGAGTCAATTACTTCACGAGGTCAGAGTTCAGAAGATTTACCTTTACTTTTCTCTTTACACTGATCCTTAAACGCGTCAAATATTTTATCTGCTTCCTTTAATCCAGTTTCTTTCAATTCTCTGTACTTTCGCAGTAATTTTTGATACTTATCTGATGTCTGGCTAAAATCTTGCCCTGAAATCAGCTCCATATTGTCTCCTGACTCTGATGGACTTTTTGTTCGTAGCTTTTTGTTAGCCTCTTGATAAGTAAGAGAACATGACAGCTGCGAAGTTGAATTAAGGTCTATATTGGTCTTCGTTGCGTCAATTTCATCTTCCGCCCCTTCACCAACGTCAGATTGAATCTGTTGAGTTTCTGGTATAACTTTCTCGGCAGCTTCATCAGAAGATGTTTCTTTTTTTGAGCGACCTCTTTTTCGGGGTGCTTGGCGTGATAAAGATTTATAATCATCTGGATAACTGCTATTGATCGTATTTTGTGGGACTGAATCCGTTTGAAGTCTCTTTCTCGAGCCTTTCAATGTCTTCGAATTTTTGGTTACAATTATACTATTTTCCTCGGTAGTTTGTGTAGCTTGCAGTCCCAAGATATCAGCCTCTTCTGCAGATACTTGGAGGGGTTCGCGCCTTTGTTCCGTTGCTACCAAACGCTTGCTATTTGCTCTAGTTGATTTTTGTGGCTTTATCTCTTTTGGGGCCTGATCACTCGATGTATGCGTGGCAGAGCTTCGGGTGGCAGCCATTGTAGTCGGAGCTTTCGATCTTTCACGCACTTTCCTTCCTAAAATATTATCTTGGCCCGAATCTTTCAGTCGTTTGGATTCACGTTCTTCTTCGTCAACAGATTCAGATTGTAAATCAATCGACCTTGTATGAGTCGAGCGTATCCTTTTCGGCTTCGGCATTAGTGAAATTTTATGTTAAGTTCAGGTCTATGATAAGAGGGAAATTTTAGGGATTTCCAATTGAATACGCCAATTTATTTCTTAAAGTTTTGGGAATCGAATCGCGATACTGGTTAGTTATATCTCTAATACGGATGTTTGTTTTGACGGTTTCCACTTGGAAGTTGTTAGCACCAACTAACAAATGTTAGCGCCACACCGTCATACACCAGCCACTGCCACGCATCCAATTGTCCACGCCGAAGCAAAGACAGGTAGATAACAAGTCTCAAAAAATGGGGGAAAATAAAAAGTATAGTATGCTGCAAGATCTTGCACTAATCTTGGTCTCAGTAAGCTGTATTCTAGATATCACTTCTATAGCGAAACATGAACTAATACTTATATTTTTTCAGAGCATATCCATGTATTATATCGCAAAGAACGTTGTTTCAAACTTGCCTATAGGAGTCGATCCGGAAAAGGAACAACATGAACAAGCGCGATTGAAAGCTACGAACAATTTGAGAAGATTAAATAGAATTAGAGACGACTCGTCGGATGATGAATACCATACCGAGAACGGATCCTCTCGGCAGACTAGGAAAGAAGATTTTCATCTTGATCAGTATGAGAGCCAAATTGCTATGGAAGTTGTCGCGCCTGGAGATATTTCAGTCGGGTTTGATGGTGAGAATTCTGACGTAAAGCTTAAGAAGGAACTAAAATTTAGATAGATATCGGGGGCCTCGAAGACATCATCGAAGAACTGAAGGAATCTGTCATATACCCTCTTACCATGCCACATCTTTATGCTCGCTCTTCATCGTTACTTTCAGCACCATCAGGTGTTTTACTCTATGGCCCCCCTGGTTGTGGGAAGACTATGCTCGCAAAAGCGTTGGCTCATGAAAGCGGAGCATGTTTCATCAACCTTCACATCTCAACCTTAACGGAGAAATGGTATGGCGACTCAAACAAGCTAGTTCGAGCTGTATTCTCGCTAGCTAGAAAATTACAACCAACAATTGTCTTTATTGATGAAATTGATGCAGTACTTGGCCAAAGGAGAAGTGGTGAACATGAAGCCAGTGGGATGGTAAAAGCAGAGTGAGCAGCTAAAAATAGTTTCTACAACCTAGTGCAACTCTAACACTTGTAGATTTATGACATTATGGGACGGTTTAACATCATCTAATGAATGTGGCATTCCTGCCAGAATTATGATACTTGGTGCAACAAATCGTATACAAGATATCGACGAAGCCATTTTGAGAAGGATGCCCAAAAAATTTCCTGTATCGCTCCCAAATAATAACCAGAGAGGTCGAATCTTAAATCTTATTCTTAAAGGCATAAAAACTGATGAGAAAGAATTCGATTTTGATTATTTGACTAGAGTCATGGCTGGCATGTCAGGCAGTGATATAAAAGAAGCTTGCCGAGATGCAGCCATGGTTCCCGTTAGGGAATTTATCAAAGAGCAGGCAGATAAAGGTCAAAAGATAGCTGGAATTAACTCAGATGAGGTTCGCGGGATACGTACTGAAGACTTCTTTGGACGGAGGGGTGGAGGTCAAATTATTAAAGACAACCATGCCAAGAATATGGCCCAGAAACAAACCAACGAAGCTATATCGAGCGAAAATTTTGATGATTATGACGAGGAACTAGAATCAGTAAACTAAGTAGCACAAGATAAGATTTCATGTACACAAAATGGAAATGGCGTATGTCTCGGGTTTGTAGATGAGGAAACGGCGTCAGTTTTTCAAGGGTGATCTTTGTAAATCGAAGGGTCTGTACGAAAGTACTTAATCTCTAGTTTCTAGTTAAGTAGAATACGGAAATTCAAACAAACATCCATCGCTCGGAATTACCTTTCTTCCAGTAGTTTTGGCAACAAAGCTTCATGTTAAATAAACAGAATACATCCAATTCTACATCTCAGAAAAATAATCATTTGAATCGATAATTTAAATGCAGGTTATATTGGGGAAGTATCGTTTCCTTAGTCATGACCTTGCAGGTCTGATTCACTTAAACAAACACTAAGGCGAAGAGAGCAAGACTAAACACCTGTACGCGGAGTACTATACTAATCTGGGAGTGAAATATTCTTCCACAGCCAAGTTTAGTCGAATTTCGTAAAATTTATTATTATTTAAATTTAAATTTGAAATATTTAACGTGACAGGACGAACCTAACATCTATTTAGACGTGACACGGGTAGATGGGCTCTGAGAGCTTGTTGCTACCTACATGACCGGCATTAAAGCCAGAAGCAACAAAAAAAAGTGCCCTGCACTGCATCCCTATCTTCCATATCCATCTCCTCCCGAGTTGGAATCCGTCTCGGCGTGGTCACCTCCCGCCCCGTTCATTCTTCGACAGCCTGTAACATCTGCTTGTAGTTAGGACTTGGAAAAACTTCTGCCATCCTTTCTCCCTGATCATCTCCTTGGCTCCAGGTTGGGCCAATTTCTCACAGCTTCTGCAATGTTGCAAAGCAGGTCGGCACTCTGAAAAATACCAGGGCCTTTTCTCTCGGCCGCAAAGGCACTTCAGATCTTCATGTTCGGGGTTGAAACACCTGTGATAGTCGGTGTAGTCCCCGTGGCCAGTCCTTGCCACAATTAGACGGTGGTACACCCATCTTGGTAGAGCCAGTTCCGTCGGCTGTTTGTAGTGCATAAAGAGGTCCAGATCTTTATGTTGTTTCAGCCGAAACTTCTGCCACCACTCTTCGACGAGTTCTTGACCCCGTATTTTAACTAGTCTCTCTGATACCGCAAAAGTTAGGTTTTGATCTTCTCCAATGGGCGTAGCTGAGTTTAGTGACCGGTTATTGAGAGCTCCCAGGGCTGATTTGGTCAGCTTATCGGCCTCTATATTGCCTTGAATCCCCATGTGACCAGGTATCCAGCGTATTTCCACACACTTAATATGTCTCAGTGACGAGAACTTATCCAAAACTACCTGAGAGAAGTTAGATCTTTCTCTTCCGAGCGCCCGGGTAGCCGCTTTGATATTCAGAAGAATGTAAATCGGTAAGCCTTCTGCAACCACTACTGTAGCCTCTAAGGCCTTCATGGCGCCTATAGTCTTTGCGTCGAATACCTCTGCTACGGGAAGTGGACCGGAACCACTCCCAGATAGCTTGCCTTTTTGGTATACTACATATCCCCAGGCTGATTTTCCTGGGCCCGACGAAGACCTGTCAGAGAAGGCAGAGATTTTCTTGGCTGTCAGGAAAGCTAAACATCGCTTTATGCTTCCAGACCTAGCTTCTTTTTCTCGACTGCATGGAGTCGGTGATGGGGAGCCGTGTGGAAAGTAGAGCTTTCCAGGGCCTTTGGCTATTGGAACTTGGCGCACGCTCATTTGCAGGTGTGTCATGTATCGTTCTAGTTGTCTGAATAGGCGATCTCTTTGTCCAGACCGAAGACCTTAGCGTCTGATAATATCTTTTGGGCACTTAGCCGCCCGGAGGGCTAGAGGATGCCACACATCCATTCTTCGCATGCGGGCTGCCGATCGCAGCGTCTTTTGCTGGAGGATGATGGATGCCGAGGGTACTCCCGCTTCATGGTAAAGAGCGTTATTTGGAGTGGTACGCCACACTGGGAGTGCTACTTGGATAGCTTTCATTATAGTTTTGTCCAGTAGAAATATATGCCAGCTTACTCCACTGGCGACTTCTTTATCTTGCAGCGAGGTTATTCGAGTGAGACCCGGCCACCACGCTTCTGCCCCATTTAGAGCTGTACTCAGAACGCATGCCTATGCTGCACGAATTAGATGTCCGGGAGCTGCACCGCGTTGAACACAGTTCAAATGTCGTAAGGAGTGGACTAGACGATTAGCTTTTCCAGTCCATTCCTGTACTGTTGGAAATATCGCGCAATGAAATGGATGCAATATTCATGGAACGAAAGTAGAAGATGACTTAAAGAGTGTCATGTTCGGATTACAGCTAAAAGTGTGGGAAGTGTGCACTACATGTACAAGTGTAAGCGACACAGAGCCTAAGCCACAGCATAAACAAGTTTGGCGCCATCTAGGCATAGAAAAGCCCCATTAACCTCCTTGCGCCCACGCCATACAGCCGCTCACATATCCAATAGGTAGCCTGAAGCGCTACCATATTACCTATTCCAACTACTTAAATACACACAAGATCGTGTCGGGAACCTAGACGAAATGGAAGGCCCGTACGTCCACAACACTCCGCGTCTCCATTTCCAACATGTACATTTTGCTTGAAGTTCAGCTGGGTATCAAGCTAGACATCCTAGCCCCCGGATGTGCGGTGCTGGTTCGATTCGACGATCTCTCACCATGATTGAAAGTCCAACTGTGTTGATTTTTTTTCTAGGTCCCCCTCCGGTCATTAGAAGTTCGGACTTTGCTGGGTCAAACTCGATCCTATGTTCTCTAGCGAGAAGAATGAGACTGTCGACGTCGTCTTGTACTGCGGAGATAACATCCGCCGCGGTTTTTCCAACCCTGATCATGGCCATATCATCAGCATAACCAAACCTGCTCGTGAGACTATGGTCCTAAAATAGCACTGCGACATATAGCATAAAGAGTAATGGCGATAGTGGTAAGCCCTGAGGTACTCCAAATTCCAGTATATTTTCCTCGGTAGTTCCGCCGAGGTATTTTACCTTCACCTTTTGTTGGTAAAGAAAAGTCTGAATAAACTGGCACAGGGATATTTGCCAGCCTTGTTCTCGAAAGCGTTTGAGCTGTTGGTTGTGAAGAACTGCGTCAAAAGCACCTTGAATGTCAAGTGTGACCATAGCCGCACACTTACCACTTCTCATGGCTGCCTCAGCATCATGGATTAAACAGGATGCAAGATTTACTGCAGATCATCCTGGTACAGAGCCGAATAATTGAGGGTGAACCACTTGGTGACTTACTGTCAGCCACACCATTCTCTTACCAACTAAATGTTCAAGTCCTTAGCCAAAACTCGAAAGCAGCGAAATCGGTGGTAAGCCCTTGGTGGCTGACAGATTTCGTCCCGGTTTGGGAAGAAGCACAACCTCTGCTACCCTGGAAGCCGTGGGAAAGTGGCCGATATTCAGACAGGCCTGGTAGAGATTCTTAACCAGAGGTCCTGGATGGGACCAACAGGCTTTAAGTAGACGCACTGTTATCTTGTCAGCGCCTGGTTCTGTATTGTTGACAGAGACAGTAGTGCTAGTCACATCATCAAGTAATATTTTCGTGTCCCATGGGATGCGCTCCTCCTGTCTATTATCCCAGGTTGGAATATCAATCTCGCCGCTGAATATTGCCAAGAGAGTGTCTTGTAGCGCACTAGCTTGCTCTCTCAGGTCAGATAGCCACCGGCTTTTGTCATTCTGCAAGGGAGGAGGCTCAGCTGCTGATCGAGGCTAAGCCCATTGCATGAGCTTGAATACCTGTGGGTCAGTAGTCACTGCTTCCACTTGCTTCTTTCGGTACTCTTGCTTGGCTTTTCGCACCACAGCTCTGAAGCTTTTCCGTGCCTAAGACAAAAGTTCGGGGTTGTCTCTTACTGCCTTATAATCCAGCCATAAAGTGCGACATTCATCGCTCCACCAGGGACTGGTTTTCCTGCTTTCAATGGCTGGGACCTTGCTTGCAATCTTCAGCGCATCTCCAAGTGCTTGGAAAACACGAGTATATCTATAATCAATAAACTCTCATCCATGTGAGCCTTACAACAACATCTTTCCTTATTCCGAGCATCATTATCATTTTCTTAGTCCATTGCATACCCACAAATATCATCTTGAACTTAAGTCTGATTAAACTCCAAATTATTAGCTGTGCAATGGCTTCTGCCAGTGCATTGTCCTCATCAATGACTGCCAACCCCAGCGCAACAATTCACCCAACTCTGATGGGTATTGCCGAGGCAATGCAAAAACTAGAGCAACAAAGGAAAGAAAGACTGGATCTTGCCCAGGAATTCTTAGAAATAACCTATGCCTGGGCTAAAACTAAGGCAGGAACAGCGGCGTCGGCCACAGTGATGCCTCTTATTGAAAGTATAGCTACAATAGTAACATTGTTTGCTATTGGAACAACGCAGGCAAATGAAACCCCCTGTAAGACCCACCAACCCTCAAAGAGCGCAACAACAACAGAGGCTCCTAGAATGACCAAAATACTCGCGCCACCTGATTACGCGCTCCCAGAAAAGCCTCAAGCAAACAAGAACCCATGGGCAACAGTAGCTTGTAGAGCGGCAAAGCTCACAGATCCTCCAGCAGCTCTGCTTCATTGAAAGACTGACTTGCTGGCAAATACAACAACTCCAATGCCCCCAAAAGAAGATAAGCGACTTTTTCTTCGACTGGGGCTAGACCACAAATGGTGGAGACTATCTCCTGTCACCATAAAAAAAGTTAATAACTAAGCAAGCTGTAGTAGTGGCATCCGCAATAGTGCAGATGTATCAGGTCTGATCTGGCCTGGCCCTTGAATGCGCTTCAGACGCGCTAAGAGAAACAGTTCTGGGTGTTGCCCCATCCTTCCAGCAACAGAATATAACCATCAAGCCAGCCTCAGACTGGGTCTCGGTCATTGTCCCTCATGTCCCTCTATACATCAGAACCCTTGAAGGCAGCATTTCAGTTATGAGTGTAATGGTAAAAACAGAGTGTCAGTCTGTTTGTGTCACAG